ACAATGCCCACAATATAAGCCAAATCTGATATAATATTGATCACCTCATTTTTAAAAATTTCAAAGGCGCGAACAACTGCTGACAATTCCACGATTTGGGGAGAACCTTGGGCCTTATGAATATCTTGATGCCAATTACCATTTTCTTGCCAGACAATTACTGCATTTCCGGTTCTCCCAGATCTATCGGTAAACAATGTTTTTGCACCTTTTATTGGCATGTCTGATTGCATAATTTTTAATTTTACCAGAATTGGAATTAGTCTTTGTAAAAATGGGCATGCCGGGAGGTGGAATTTGATTTCTCCCGGATAACCTCCAAAGGCAATATGAAAATCAGTGGAATTCTGCATCAGTTGTTCCAGTTGTTCGGAAGTCAGTGGGAGGTAGATGCAACTCGGCTCCTCTCCACTGAGTTCCAAACATCTGGTGCATCCTTTGAAGATCAGTTTTCCAGTCATTTCTGCTAGGGTGACAATTGTTTTAGAAAATTGGTGTGAGAGGAAGATCCACTCCCACAAACAGAAGTCCTTAGTATCTGTTGAGAATTGGCCTAATATGACCAATGGCTGTCTGTGCTCTCCGATTATAATTAAAGAAGATGGCAGTCCCTCCATCTTTCTGCCTATTTGTCTTTCCGATATCTTTTTCTCAACCACAGAAAGGGCTTTCTCGACCTCCAGAGTCAGAGTTCTGGGGCAGGACAACTCTGCATCTCCTTTGAGTAGATTGAATAGGGGGTGCAAATCATCAGTTGTGGTCCCCAATACTGGTCAGATCCAATTGATCGCTCCCAATAGTTTTTGGAGGTCATTTAAATGTCGGACTTTCTTTTCAATCACGACTGATTGAGGTTTGATAGCTTTAGAGGTAATTTGGAGTCCGAGGTACCTCCAGGATGTTTCCTTCTGTATCTTCTCAGGGGATACTTCCAATCCTTAAGAATTTAGAGCCGAAATCGCTGCGTTCAGAGTCTTTTTGACTGCCGATTCTGTTTTAGCGCAAATCAATACATCATCCGTATAATGGAAGATGATCGATTGCGGGAACTTTTACCTAATGGGTTCCAACACTTTTGCCACAAACATTTGGCATAGTGTCAGGGAATTTTTCATCCCCTGGAGAAGCACCTTCCATTGGAACCTGCGATGGGGTTCACAAGCGTTGATGGCTGGGACTGAAAATGCAAATTTAACCGAATCAGCCGGATTAAGATAAATGTGAAAGAAGCAGTCCTTTATGTCAATCACCACTAAGGGCCATTCAGCAGGGAGCATAGATGGAGAAGGCATCCCCTGCTGGAGGGCTCCCATTGGCTCTAGGACTTCATTCACTTTGCACAGGTTCTGGAGAAATCTCCAGGAACCTGAGGATTTTTGTATCACGAACACTGGAGTGTTCCAGGGACTGGTGGAAGGCTCCAAGTGTCCTCTAGCCAATTCCTGATTAACCAATTCATTTAAAATTTGCAACTTCATTTTGGGTAGGGGCCACTGATCCACCCAAACAGGGGTTTCAGTTTTCCAATTAAGTTTGGGCAACTGCACCTGCTCAGTGACCCCCCCTAAAACTTTTCTTTCGTTTTTTAAGCTTAGTTGCCATTGTTCCATGGCGTCCTGTCCCCACAGTGTGATTGGAATGTTTAATACATACGGTTGAAGAGATGCAAGTCTGCCCTCCGGCCTGTATACTGTGACAATTTCTTTGCTTCTGACTGGGTACTGTGACCCTCCTACCCCCCTGACTCGTGTGTCTGTGGACTGGGCCGGCCAACCGCACGGCCAGTCCTTTGCCGCCAGTATGGTTACATCTGCCCCTGTATCCAAAAGCCCTTCCACCTTGATCTTTTGTGGATGTCTCGGTTCTGAAAAATAAATTAAACATTTCAGGAGAGGTCGAGAAGATTTCACTGAGGTTGCCCAATTGGCTTCTGTCAGAGTCTCACTCCTCTCCTCCTCGTCTTTGGACATCACACATGTCAGGGCATTCATGGAGATCATTTTCGCGACCGGGAAATCATCTTCCAACTGTACAGGTGGCAATGCAACAGACAAACACACGGCAATGTTATTATTAACGAGACCCGTTAAGAGGGTAGGAATCACCATAACACCCCTCGACACAGCTGAGAAATGTGACACTATTAGATATGTCTCTTCTGGGTGAACGTTGGCAGATGACCTGACCCTGACCAGCTGCTCATATGAGCTTAGATGGATAGAAGGATGGACAACAGTTAAAATGATCCAGTCCAAGGGGGTGCACTGTTGCTTAACCGGGACCGGGTCTGGTGGGGACTCCCACACTACGGAGTAACTGGGCGCGGTGTCGGGTGCAGGATGGAGCGGAGCTGAGGGGATGCTTTTGTCATCGCGCCCCCCTGAACACTCTGCTCCCTGTTTCCCGAGTGCTCGCAGGAGCACGGGCAGAGGTCCGGCAACAAACTAATGGTGACCTTTTTCCTCAGTCCCAGGGATTTTCTTGAGGGAAGGAACTCGCCATTAATGTTAGTTAATGATCAGCACCGGTAGATGACCAATGGCGACCCTTCCCGCACCTCCAGCAAAGTGTTTTTGGGGCATTTAGTTCTGTGGCTAACTCCGGACAATGCTTTTTAAAATGTCCTTTTTTCCCGCAGTTGAAGCAGGATTGGGATCTGGTGAGGGCAGCAGCTAATAGGCGTACTTTATGGGAACCAGAGCCAAAGTTCTTACAAGCTTCGATCATTTCAAGTAGGGAGGGGTCTTTTAACATCTTAAGGGCTTTCTGACAATCCTCGTTTGCTTTTTCTATAAGCAGTTTGTTAAAGAGGATGTCTTGGCTTTCTTTTTGTTGAACTTGACGGCTAATTGCTTCTCTCAATCTGGTAATAAATTCTACAAAGGGCTCTTTTGGGCCTTGATTGATTAATGTAACGAGGGAGTTTGGACGTATGTATCCGCTACCCTCTTGACTGCTTCTAATGCCAATTCTTTCGATATGTCTAAAAATTTCAAGTCAATTCGAGATTGATCATCCCTACTTGAATAGTGTCCCTGACCATAAAGCATGTCTACAGCCTGCTTCACTGGTATTCCCCTCCTTTCCATTTTTTCATTCACATATGTTGTAATCAATTTCTTCCACTCCGTCTCAAAGACGGACAATTGTATCGTGGAGAAAAGTCCATTCACAACTGCACAAATGTCGTAAGTAATGAGTCTATATGCCAAAAAGAACGATTCCAACAGGCCAACCGTAAAGGGTGCTCCTAGTCCATACCAGACAATGGCTTTTTTAATATCCTTAAGCATGGGATATGAAATGGGTCTCCATTCTGGAGCTTTACCCTCTTCCAGGTAAATCGGAAAGGTCTTTAGAAAGTCTATGTCATTAGCTGAATGATTTCCAAATATTTGGATGGTTTGCCTGTCTTTCAGGGGAGTGCTGCGAATAGTCTATATCGGAATCAGACGACCGGTAAAGGGGGTAGGCCTCGGTGCAACAGGCCCTATGCGTGCAGCCATTTTTACAGAAACTGGATTTGACCTTTGGCCTAGCCCCACCCCTGACTTCCTTTCTATCCCGGGGGGCAGGTCTTTCTGGGTAGGAGGCGGAGCTGGAGGGAGAGGGTGTGCGTGTGGGCATGTTGGGGGAGGAGTCTCTGACGCACGGAGGTGGGGCGGAGGTGGTCTAGGGGGTGGCACGGAGGGAGCCCGCCTCCTTTTTTCCTGCACTGATGTCTCCCGCGGCAACTTTTCCCGCCTTCACTCCTCGCGTGTTCTGCCTCCCTCCTTCCCGACGCAATTTTGTGCATGCCGTGATGCAGCTTCTTTTTCCCTCCCGCCATCTTGTGTCCGGTGCAGTTTGTGTGACAGTTTAGGAGCTGTTTTTGTAGATAGGAGTCTTGTACTTGATTTCTCGTGCTTTTCATGGAGACCGTTATTCTGGTTCATCATCTGGTGCTGTAGCACCATCAGAACTAGTCTCCAGGCAATTAAAGCTTCTTTAGCTGTTCGGTCCCCCCTATCATTATCTCGCCACAGACTGGTCCACAGAGGTGTCCTCTGCAAGTATGTGACCTTTGTGGTCCAGCCACTTGGTGAGTGTTTTCGCTGATTTCTTATCAAGGGGGTGACCGTGTTCAATGGTGAAATCCTTAAGTCATCGGTAGATGAACTTCTGGGAAGTGGACAGCGAGAGTCCCATGGTGTTATTACAGTGACTCTTGACACTTGTCCTTTCTGTTAAAAATCCTCCCTTTTAGGGGATAGGTGTCGGGGTGGGAAGTGGAGTGTCCCCAGCTGCTCACCTTCTCCAGTGCATCAACCCGTGCAACTCTGCAGTCCACAGTCACTCATGTCCAGCTGAGGAGGACTGGCGGGGTGGTCACCACTCCTGGTGATCCCTGAGCCCCAGTGAGCACACAGGAGTTCTCTCAATGTGAGAGACCTTCAACTATGCCCCACGTTTGGCGCCATATGCCATGGCCCGAGGGTAATAGGGATAGGGATGCAGCACTGCACAAAAGGGTTCGGACTCGGTTGAAGGTCAGGGGTGCAATGCCACTTTATTAGGGGAGAACAGCGACTTATATAAGGTTTGGGTAAGGGGAGGTCTGATAACTGGGGTGGAGCATGGGATTGACAACCCAGGATGAAACAGGATTGGGAGACAAGGGGGAAAATGGGTGTAACTTAGGGGTATCCAAGGGAAGGGACCAATAGGAGCTCACTCTGCACTGCGGCAGCCATCAACCAATCAGTGAGAGATGAGAGGGAAAACCAGGGGAGAACAAGAGAGTAAACAACTTTTGGCGGGAAAAATGTGAGGGCAAGTCCAGGCAAGCCCTGAGCAATACAAACCATAGGGTATAACATAGGCGTACATTACAATATGGTATAAAACTGGTAATAAACTGGGGAACAAGAAGTCAGTCCATGGAGTAATAGTCTATTCGGGCCCCATAAACGTCTCTCCAGGCCTTGAATCGTTCCCAGTCAGATCTGTGATCCTCCTCAATCCGGGAACACAAGGGGTCGGAGACATGGCTCATCTCCCTGCCAGAGGGAAAAAGGCACCCATTGACCCTGAGCCTGGTGGGTAAACCTGTCTCGGGATGGACTCACATAGGCCTGGTCTTTCCCCAGGACAAAAGCACTCTGGGAGGCGGTTCATCCTGTGCACCCGCCTCTCTCAGCCTTTTCCACTCTGCTTGCCCATCCCTCAGTGACAAGGCCCTTTGGCCCACGACCACAGGCACTGTAGGGGTGCCCCGTGCACAGGCAGAAAGGACAGGGGCAGTGGGGACAAGGAGGTCTCACCTGGCCAACAGACCCACCGCGTAGTGGTGGGTGTCAGCGCTGAGGAGCGTGTCCCAGCCGCACTTGCGTTCCATTGAAACCACAACTTCCCCACACTCCAGATGGCAAAGCAGGGCCTTCAGGGTCAGCAACGCAAACCTGGGTGCAGAGCAAAGCCCAGGTCAAGCTGGGAGCCCTGACCCAGCCCGAGGGCACAGAAGGCAGGGGAGGACTGGGATGGAGCACCTGTTGGGCTCGGTGGGAAGGTTGTGTTGCTCCCAGCATCCCCTCCAGAAGGTGTCAACCTCCTTTGGCATCTGCTAGGTGCTGATGAGAACTTGAAAGAGCAGAGCCACAAGGAGACAGAGGGAATACTCTGTCCATGACTGGGAACCGGAATATCTGCAGAGTCTCCCAGATCACCCTGGTTGCCTGCAAAAGATAAACCATCTGGACACAGCTCTCAGTGCTCAGATGTCCATGTGGCAGGGCCCGAGAGTGGCAAAGAGATGCCAGGGAGGATGCAGGGGGAGCACCTCTCCTGGTGCCCCTGAACCTGCCCCTAACCTACATTTCCAGCCCAGCGCCTGAGGCAGGGAGATGCAGTGCTGGGGGAGGATGGAGAGCCACCGGAGAGGTGACCTGGGGGGAGCGAAAGCCCTTTCCAGAAACTCACAGCCAGTGCAAAGACATCCGTTTTGTCCCCGTCAGAGGTGGACATGCTGTGGAGTGGCCAGTCCTCCATCACACAGAGCAGCTGTGGCAGCACCTTCACCACTGTCCTTCCCGATGAGGTGATGGTCCTCCACATGATGGCAGCAGCTCTGTGGGACCAGAGTTCTGTGTCAGGGGGGTGCCGGTCAAAGTGCCTTGAGGAGCAGGGAAGGAGCATGGCAACAGGATCGGGGCTGACATGGCAGGACTGGGAAACAGAGGGGTCAGGGGGTCCTGGAACTCTCCATCCCTCTGGCCGACCACGTGGGATGGCCAGAAACAAAGCAGAAGTATGGCTTTAGTTAAACGTGGGAGACAGGTTAAAAGAGGAAGGTCTAAAGGCTGGTGAGCCCTGAGCCCCGAAGGCAGGGGGTCCTGTACCTGTCACATGATGGGGCACAGTGCAGGAGGGTCACCACAGCATCAGCAGGGTGTTCATCAGTCACCCTCAGAAACTCCAACAGCAGCTTCTCTTCTGGAGTTGCACTGCCTGTCAGTCTCTGGTGCACATTCCTGATGAAGGTTGGAACCTGGAGG